TTGAGCTGTTAATGTGTGCCGAAACTGATTTACCACTAAATGATTGTTTATCGGGAATCGCTGTGATGTTAGTCTTGATCAACGCTTCACCCGAACAGTAGTCAAGCGTTTCCATCGATAATAAGTTATCATTACGGGTACTGTTGGCCGCACGCGGGCCAACACTACCGCACACTTCAGCTACAGATTCACACGTCGACTGGCCTTTGGTTTTATTAAACAAAACATAGGGCCCGACGTGTTTGAGGTCTCTCTTGTGGTCATTAATACCGCGTAAAGAGATGCTCTCAAACCCGCAGCCATCGGATCCGCACTTAAACCAATACTTGCGTCCATTGAGTTTGTGAAGTGAGTCCAAATGGCGGCCAACCAGACGCTGGCCCTTAAACAGGTCGCCACAGATCTCGCATTTGAACAGATATTCGGACCAATCGTCGAGAAGAGGGGTGTGTTTGGCGCCGACGTGTGTCACGAGATCCGACGCACGCCTAAAAGTGCCGCCACAGTCGCGATAGTGGCACTGATGGCGATCCCGAACGCGCAGCGGTTCCAATGGTTTGGCTGTTAAACAGATAATTCATTTAAAACATCAGTCTTCGTGCGATGTCTTAAGTGGCAAAACAATTGTCTCACAACTATGAGCCCAAATCACGTGAGCGTTCAATCGTTGCAATGTATGAAAACATTTGTGGCATTTCTCGCATTTGTAAAGTGTGCGCCTCTTCTTCGTGTCTGTCGAGTGGATCCAATTGGGGATCAGTTATTGATTTTAATCATTAAATACATTCGCATTAGACATACTGTGGTAACGAAGAACGTGTTGATTGTAAGCGTAAAATGTGGTGCATTTGAACGAACACTTATTGCACTGAAGGTCGGAACCGATTGAATGCATCGACAGCTTATGGCCTTTGATGTCCACACCGCTGATGGACTGGTAATCGCAGCCATCGATCGGACACTTTCGCACCGCAACTGAAAACACACGCAAATGTTTACATAATTTACGCAAAATGTAACCAAAAATGAATAAATTCAAACCATTGAGCCGTTTGTCACACTTCTGGAGATGAGACCTAATCATTGTCTCGTCGATGGGTTGCCGACAGCGGTAGCACTCAGTGGTGTGGACTCGGCGTACGTGACGCTTAAGATTGCGTTGATATCTAGTCTGAAAGTTACAGTCGCCGTAACCGCACGTATA